CCTGTGGAGACCAGAGGACACCTTGCAGGACTTGGTTTTCTCCTTCCAACATGTGGCTCCCAGGGATGGAACCCCAATCCTCAGGTTTAGCCACAAGCACCTTTACCCTTTGGACCATCTCGCTGGCCCTCGCTGTTGTTTATATTAAACATTATTTCACTTAGGCAGCTTTAGCGATTTATATGGCTAGATACAGGTATGTATAGGGGTTTTTATTCCTCCCTCCCTCCTCATGATAGTGTTAAGGCCTTGAAATGAGCTCAGGATATGTATTAAGTGCCAGATTTTTTAAAAAAAAAATTCCAGGAAAAATAAAACACTCCGATGTTTAATCACAAACTGAAAGCCTGTAGCTATAGGGGAAATCTAGACTCCCAGTGATATTGACCTCTAGAAATGTGCAGGCAAGGCGCCGCAGCCACGGGCTTTCTGGCTGGGCTCCGCTGGTCGCCGCAGTCAGAAATTAAATTTAGACAAGGAGGAGGGAGAACCCACGATGCAATTACTACAATAATGGGGAGAAAAGCAGAGGCATGTTGTTTCAAGCTATTTCTTGCCTCTTTCATTGGAAATGTAGCAGGCATTTGTGTATGGCGAAGCAAAGAAAACAGTAACAACCAGATGGTAAAGGTGTAATGAGAAACGCTTGTTGCTCCTAGCTCCTGTTAACTAGGTAATCCCGGAATGATTGACAGGTGGCTGGAGCTACCGACAGAAACTGGCGTCCCCCAGTGTCACACACTGTGGGAACTTGGGTGCTCCTGTCCACGTTAGGAGTGAGGATGGAGATGTCTAGGTTTTCTAGCTCTTGTTTGGTACTGTCAGACGTAGTATTTTCTGGTGTCTGTTGGTGCCCATAAGAAGCTTGGAGAGGAAGAAGAGGGAGGTTATGGATATCACCAGGTGACTGAAACAGAGTTAGAAGGTTTTTTTTAAGGGTGTGTGGTTTTTTTTTTTTTTTTTGCTTTTTAGCAGTTTTTGCGTGTTACCTGGGTTACAGTAAATAAAACAGTCACTTCATATTGGGTCTGTTTTCCCATGTACAAAATGATTTGATCAGTCAGGATATGGAGTAATAGCAAGCAATCCCCGATATCAAATATTTTACTAGGAGATCATAGAGGGATGTGTGTGTGTGTGTGTGTGTGTGTGTGTGTGTGTGTGTGTGTGTGCGCGCGCGCTGTGTGTGCACGAACCTCACCTAGACCTAAGTTTATCAACTGTATCTCTTCTGGAATGTCATTACTCACCATGACCCGGAGAAGGACATGTGGTAAATCCTACAAGAGTTCTTAATGACAAAATGGCGTGTAATCACACACCTCATGGTCCAAAACAAGTTACAGGGGCCTCTATTAGCCTCAGGGGGAAGACAAGTACGGCTGCACTCTTGTGCACAGGAGGCAGTAATACACACAGTGCTGGTGAAGGCCCTGCTGACCACCTCAGTAGGGTTGCTAATGTTTATCTTCCAGGTGGAGCCCCACATACACTCACTGGGAGAGGCAGAGACACAGTTTGAAAGAGGATTGTGTAAATGGGTTTATGACGTAAACCTGAGTAGACCTCTCAGCATTATAAAAATATGTAAATAAATAACTGAAAAATTAAAAGGTCAGTTTGACACTTGTTTTCAAATGATTTCAAATGAATGTGCAATGTAACAAAGCTCGCTGGGGTATAGCAAAAACAATGTTAAACAGAATGCTTACCACAATCTATGAACACACACACACACACACACACACACACACACACACACACACATATATTGTTTTTTTGAGACAGGGTTTCTCTGTGTAACTTTGGAGCCTGTCCTGGAACTCACTCTGTAGCCCAGACTGGCCTGGAACTCACAGAGATCCTCCTGCCTCTGCCTCCCGAGTGCTGGGATTAAAGGTGTGTGCTACCACCATCCCCCGGCCTATGCCTATATTTTTAAAAAGAGAAATCTCAAGGATACCTATCACTGTATCTCAAGATGCTCAAAAAGCCAGGACAAACTGAACCTAAAATTAGTAGAAGGAACAAAATGATGATCAAACCGGAAGTAGATGAGACTGAATACACAAAGGACCCTTGAAACCCAGAGCTGGTTCTGTAAGGCTGACCTAGACCCTTGGCTAGACTAAGAAATAGAAACGGCAAACAATCAGAGATAAAACAGAGACTGCATCTCCGAGTTGTTGCTCGTAATTGGTCACTGCAGATTATCATCCACAACTAAGTGATTTAACAACCTAGAAGATTCCCGGATGCCAGCGCCGCACAGGGCCTGAAGCACCCAGCTACCACCGTTTCTCCCCTCCTACTTGAGTCCCTGCTTCTTATTCTCCAAAAACTCCAGGATTCCTTTAGTCGGTTTGATTATAGTGACCACAGTTCCCTTCAAACCCCTGTGGCACTAGGTAGTCTCTTAGACATTTGGGGCAATCCAGAGATGTCTGATACTTGTTAAAGGCACTGCTAAATTCAAGAGGCTTCCTAGTGCTTAAAAAAAAAAAAAAACCAGCCGGGCGGTGGTGGCGCACGCCTTTAATCCCAGCACTCGGGAGGCAGAGCCAGGCGAATCTCTGTGAGTTCTAGGCCAGCCTGGGCTACCAAGTGAGTTCCAGGAAAGGCGCAAAGCTACACGGAGAAACCCTGTCTCCAAAACAACAAAAAATAAAAATAAAAATAAAAAAAAAACAACCAAAAACCAAAAAACCATACTCATGGGAAAATGTAGGGATGTGAGCCAAACATCTTTGCCCTCAGCTAAAAGGGTTGTTTCCCCCGACTGTCCCCATTAGCTGCAAGCGCTGTCCCCGACTGAGTTCAGGCTCCCCAGAGTCTCTCGCTCCTGCACACCCCTCCAGGCAGACTTTTCTGCTGGAAGCCAGGGCAAAGGTGGTTCAGCACCACATGCCATACTCTCCCTCTCCATCTGGTGTCTCCTAAACCCAGCCCTCCCCACAGGATCTTTGTTTCGGGTGGGCCAGAGCAGTCTGCAGGGATGCCTGTGTTGTCTTGTGCTGACCTCCAAGTCACTTAGCCGCCCTTTCCTCGTCTACACACTGAACCTCTTCATTGTTGATGGGATTCTGCAGTCTCTGGACAGCCCAGGTGGTGGTTGTAGCCTGTTGTTCCATAAAGACTGCAGAAAAGGAGGAACGAGGGAGGGAGGGAGGGTGGGAGCATGGATGCTTGTTAAGCTTGTGTGGGAAGCATCGCACAGAAAACTGGGTCTAGCGAACTAACCGGATGTTGAGAGACAGCATAACCATGGCAGAGTCCAAAGCAGAGACTGGCATTGGCCTGCCATCAATTTCAGTGTGATCTTCACAAGAGTGTGTATTCTGCAGGTGTGTGAATATAACACACACTATCTGGGGGTGGGAATAAAGAGCAGCGACAAGAGCTCACGATGCCCCTGGGGACCCGAAGGGAACAGTAGTCCACATGTAGCTGTTTCAGAGAAAGACAGGGGCTGTTGATTTAGCCACCAAAGCTGGTTTTAATATACTAACATTTTGTGGACTTCTCACAATTAGTGGATTGTGAATGAAAAAGTCCTACAACTCACCAAAGGAGATTGTTCTGCTTAGGAAAGCTTCCGCTTAGGCGTGGCTTTTTGGGTGCTAGGGGTTAAACCCAGAGCCACTGAGCAATGTCTCCAGCCCCTTAGAAGTGGCCTTGCTCTTACTTCTGGACCCACTGACTCCGGTGGCTTCACCTTGAGTGGCTGTTACTTGGAGTTGAGGTTATCATTGAACACAGTAGTTCACATCAGTGTTCTTCTGAAAGCAGCTCTCCTGTGAAGGTTTACGATAGATCATTCAAAAGCCTTGCTTGCCCAATTCTTGTTTCCGAGTTCTGAGGGTCCCAGGTCCCTGCACAAGGTGATACCATTGAAAACTTAGCAGATTTGGGGAAGGGGAGGATGTACGCGGTAGTGGGTAAGAAGCCTTACCCTTTCCCGGCCACAGGCCTGAAAATGCACACCTGCAGAGCTGGCTGGAGGGCACATATGGCTCTTGGCATTCGGAAAACCTTGTTGAAAGTGAAATTAAAATTTCCCTGCTGGACAGGAAATTAATAACCGCTGAGGATAGCAGACAAGGCCAGAGCTAGACCACTTGTTCCATCACCTAGGATGTTTTATTGTTATGTAAATGAGATCAGCTGCTACTGCCAAAGGGGAATTGAAGAGGGTAGAGGGAAATAACGGGAATGGGTTCCTTATGGTTTAAATTCCCTCTGCAAAAGCGTTTTTCCTGGCATGCACTGATTTTTTTACTCCATCAGTGCATAGGCACAGGGAAACTTTGAGGCCTCTTTTGTCATTATTTCTATAAAGTAGCCTTCATGGCTGTGACACACTGCCATTTACTCATTTCATAACACTTCTAGATCACCCACAGTGAGCTGGGCCATATGCCACCAGGGCGGGGGAGGTGGCTAGGGCTGAATAATGGAATATCTAGTGTCCGCCTTCTGGGACTTTACAGTTTGGAAAAAGAGGATATTGGATAGCAACCACGAGTCCCCCACCCCCACTGAAACACCCATTACACCACTTAGTGTTTGGGGTTGAAAAGTAACTGAAGCATGCTGTGGAAAACGAAGCAAATTGGTAGAAGGAACTAAGGGACAGGCCTTCGAGACTGTGGATGAAGCCACTCTGTGCAAACTTAGGTGCATTACTCTTGGGAATTTTCCTGAGATGCAGAATCTGACGGTCCATTTCTTGGTTAGGAGCCAGCAGGCACTCTGTAGAGGGTGAGGCAGAATGAGGGAGTATTAGAAAGGCAAAACCCTGCATCTCCTCCCAAGGCACTGTAAATTTTCATCAGGCCTTCAAGGGTTAGTTTGGGGTTGGAGCAGGTGAGTGCCTTATTAGGGGCATTCCAGTGTTGAGAGCAATAGCTTGAAGCCATAAAATGTAGAATCATTCTCCAAAAGGCAAAATGTCGACACATCCACGTGTCCCATCTTCTGTCCTGTGTTCTTGGTCCTAGTGTGAGCAGTCACACCTCATGAGAGAGCATGAAGACGTCCAGGAGCGCACAACCCTTCGCTACGAGGAGCGCATCACGGAACTCCACAGCATCATTGCGGAGCTGAACAAGAAGATAGACCGCCTGCAGGGCACCACCATCAGGTACGTACGGCTGCTCCAAATAGCCTATGCTTGTCCTTGGTGTGCTGGAGTTGAAGCAGGCCTGTGAGTCACTGTGCCAGTCATATCCCTTGATTTCTTTTGTCCCCTTCTGATTCTGATCCTCACAACCACCCCAGCAGGTAGACAGGGTGCGAGTTGTGATCCTCAGTTGATTGCTAAGGGTATAGAATCAGCAATCAAGTAAAAGGCTTTATTAACGAGTTCTAGGCGGGTGCTGCCCTGCCCTACAGAGACAGCAGTCTGATGTCCTTACAGCCTCCTTTGTTTACCAGATCTGCTCCAGACTTCATGCCTCCCTTACTGCTTCTGAGACCCGTAAATGTGGCTCACAGCTAAGCGTTATATGGGATTCTCGATAATCTGTTAATATTTTGAGCTTATCCCAAGCTGTACATCAACGATGACACTCATCCTCTTAGCAGATTCCTAAGGCAAGCCTTGACCCATCACTTCACTAGAAAGAAAGATTTGACCCATCAGTTTACTGGTGAGAAAGGCAGGCGACAAAAGAGTGCTGATGGGGAACAGTTACGTTCAGCAGAGAACGGAGATAAGGGCTGGAGCCCAGAGACTCGCTTTTGCTTAGTTTTCTTTCTCTGAAGATCCCCGTCAGGGACTCTGCCTCGCTGGCTTATGGGTTCATTTGGCTTCTGAATCTACAACACTCAGAGCTCAGTTCCCTGCATTTGCCCTGTGGTTCAGGGATACTTGCTGAGGAGCTCATGGTGGTGGACAGGGAGCATCCCTGTGCTGAGAAGCTGTTAGTACCTACGTTCCTAAACAAAGGGTGCTTTGTTCAGGAATCATTCGCATAAGCCAGAATTGAAAGAATCTCAGGAGCAGCTGCTCCGAATTCTCCCTGGAGAAGTTCTGGCTCATAAGATGCTTTGGATGTATTTTGTTCCAACTCTGAGAGGCGCAGTAATGATGGGGCTTCTTGGTGAGGGTGCTGACAGGCATCTGTTTTCTGGGCAAAATCATGGAAAATTTTACACTGACTTGGAACCACACAATAAATTTCATATTCTAATTTAGGTCCTTAAGGTTTTAAAATTGTATCCTGGTCTACAGAGTGATTGTGGGTTAGAAATACATGAGCAAAAAAAAAAAAAGATTTTAGCCCAAAGATATGCTTATAGTAGATTTCAAAGAGCCTAACAGAGAATGTTGGCCAATTGGTGATTTCCATAAAAATGAGTTGTACTTTTAAAATCCTGAGAAGGTGACAGTGAACGGGTGTAGTCAGTTGTGAAATAAGCACAACACGTATCAAGGGAACAACTCAATCTCAAGATGTTTAAATTGGATGTAATGGCCTGACCATTGCACTTGTGTGTTCTATGAGCTGCTTGACCGTAAACATGCATTTGTGCCTCTGATTTAAAGGACGATTGCATCTGTGCAGATGTCATACAACACTCTACCTGTTTCCATTATGTAAATGAGCTAGCTCCTCCTCGAGGGGACTCTGGGCCAGCTTGTAAGATGTGCTAGATGGGCCAGTGAGAAAAGGGTCTTCCAGAGGCTAGTAGGGCATGGCCCCCACCGCCAGCTCTCCAGGGATATGCTGTGGCAGCCCCAGCTCAGGAACAACACCCCGTGGATGAATATTTAACTGCTGTGACATACTCCAGTATCTGTTTGCATCCTTTTTCTGATACCCAAGTTTAAAGGGAAAGCAGAGGTAGTGGAGGGAAGGTAAGAGAACTGGCTGCTCTTCCAAAGGTCCCTGAGTGTAATTCCCAGCAACCACATGGTGGCTCACAATCATCTATAGTGGGATTTGATGTCTCCTTCTGGCATAAAGTTGTACATGTAGGCAGAGCACTCATAAACATAAAAATAAGTAAAAAAAAAAAAAAAAAGCAAAAAAAAAAGTAGTGGAAGGATTTTATATGTCTTCATCCTCATAGGACTTTGAATTCTCTTCTTAGTTATGCATCTAAAAACCCACACCAAAAATGTTTTCTTTTCTTCCTTGCAACATGGAGCTCTCCTAGTTGACCTATGTTAAGGGAACATGCACCTACTAAAGAATATGATAATGGTGCCACAGTTAACCACATGGCCCTTTGCAGTATCCATGCTCTTAGAAACAAAGAATAATCTTGGTGTCAGCGTCTCACCAAGAAACATGGAACAAAGCAGAAGTAGCTCAGCAAGGCAACTGTTTTTACAAAAGGGATGCGTGAGAACCCAAACGGGGTGGGCAAGCCCGAGCACGTGGGACATGATATGCACTTGGGTTTTATTCCAGTACAGATGGTAACTGTGTTTTCCCCATTGTCTGGGATCCAACCTCATGCTCTTTCAACACTGGCTAGTTTTACAAGAGTCAAAGCAAAGGAGATGAAGGAAGGAAGAAGAAGAGGTAGGCGCACAAAAGTTTTACTGGGTACTAAAACATTTGCATCAACGACTGTAAGGGAAGAGATAAAAGATTTGCATAAAAGTCTTACAAGCTGGAAGAGATAAGAAGAATTAAATCCCTTGTACTAAATAGGTTTTATATTGTTTGGCAGAAAAGGCTAGCATTTGATATTTCTTAGAATACCATTGAACTACAAAGAAAAAGTAGTTGTAATACAATATTATAGTGACAATATTAATATATTATATAATATATAATATGTATAATATATAATACAAATACAATATGTACATATATAATATATGTACAATATGTAATATAATATAATATAATATAATATAATATAATATAATATAATATAATATAATCTCATAGAGTGGCTAGAGTAACACGTGAGGGAGATGTAGGGCTGCCACTATGCCATAAGGTAGTAAGGATGGTGTCTGAAACCTGGAATTTGCTAGTCTATTGCCTAGAAATTGTGAGCAGTTTAACAGATTAGAGCACGCTAATACAGGGGTAGGCCTTCTAAGAATAAAGATTTTGGAATACTTTACTAGGTAAAACACTGATTCTGGGCTGGAGATGTGGCTTGGTGGTTCAGGGCATTTGTTGCTCTTGCAGAGCAAGCACATGAGTTCGGTTCCTAGAACCTATATGGTGGTCCATAGCACCAGTAGCTCCAGTCTGGGGAGTCTGATACCTGTTTTTGGCCTCCATGGGCACCAGGGACATACACATACATGCAGGCAAAACACTTGTGCACATAAAATAAATAAATCTTTAGAAAAAGAAGGAAAGAACTAAATCTAACTAAGTGAGCTGCTGCCCAAACCAAAATAAACAGATTCCCTAGGAAAAAGAAAAAGGAAGTTTTAATAATGACAGCTCCAGCTTCATGACCAGTAGAGAAGATAGCTAAAGTTGACATATTTTTCTGGTTTTGTATATGTGCATTTTGTTTCTTCTCTTGATTTTTCTGCTACTTGTATGTGGTGAATTGGTGAAACTTGTAATTTGGTGGCTAGGTTTGATAATGTCTAGTCAGGTTTGCCATTGGCTCAAGGAGGTCCCTTGACAGTAGATATGATAGCTGATGGTGTAGTGGATCTCCCATTTTGAGGAGCAGCTGAACTCATTCCATTGACCAGAGGGACAGTTACAGAAGGTTGCTGCTATGCTGTTGTGGTTGAGAAATTTAACTGATCAGGAGGGCTTATTGGATGGTCATTGAGCAGTCCTCGAGTGTAGACTGTAATGACTGTCTCCTAGCCCAAGTACTGTTCCCTGTTCTTTCTCAATTTCCCCCAAATCAAAGGCATTCTGGGCCTGGGCCTACTTCCCAGACCCCCTTCCCAGCCGTGTTCTGGATAGTTTTCAGTCTGGTAATGAAGGGTCTGGGAGGAAGTAGAGGCATTAATCATTCCCACTAGACCATGATAGTGGCAGCAGACATACAGTGTAGACACAAGGGTCTGCCTTGACTGGCCAGACACGAAGTTCCGGACAGGTATGTAGCAGCAACAACAGGTGCCTGGTTTCTGGGGGACCAGAGCTGGGGTGACCAACCTGACAGCTCCTCGGGGCCTCCACCCACCCACCTCTGTCTTCTCCGTTGTTCTTCAACCGGCTTTGCAAGCACAGACCTGCCTGCAAGCAGTGCTGCTGTCTGTTCGACTCTTTTAGTTCAGTTTGTTTTCCTAACTGATCCCTGCCAGATGTACCCTAAATCTCATCTCCTAGAGACAAACATGGAACATTTTGTGTACATGTCCTTCAGACAATTTTCTGTTGAGTATTTTAAACATACTGGATCATATGAGTACCCCACAGCACACAACGGTTTTATAATATGTGCTTTTTCATTTCACAGCGTATTATGAGTGCCTTTTAAAAGGTGTTTGACTGGTGGAGATTTTATAATGGGATCAAAAATATGAAAAAAAAATATGACCATAGTGTGCTTTGGATCCAAAAAAGAAAAGGAATGATGTCTAAGCAAATTGAGCCTGAGATCTTTTCTTTCCCATAAGCAGTTCTTGTAACACCAACCCTTCCCTCCTAACCCTCATGGCTCATCCATGTTCTCGGTTTGTTTCCCGTTCACTCTGAGCTGGCTGCTGCTGTCTGTCTTCTTGCCCCGGCAGTTTTCTGTTGTGGAATATTTGTACATTGTTTTGAAGATGTATTTGCTGAGATTGGTGTAATAAAAAGCTGAATGAATGGCCAGTAGGTAGGCAGGAGGTATAGAAGGGATTTCTGGGGAGAGAAAGGAAGAGGAGGAGAATGCAGGTACAGGAGACACAGCAAAGAAACAGGAGGTGCAGGATGGAAGCGAGGTAACACTACGTGATAGAACATAGAGTAACACAAATGGGTTAAGTTATAAGAGCTAGTTAGGAACAAGCCTAAGCTATAGGCCGAGCTTCCATAATTAATAAGAAGTCTCCGTGTCATTATTTGGGAGCTGGCTGGCAGGAAAGAGAAAGACTCATTAGAATTTTCCCCTCAGCCCCATTTCCTATGGACTGAAAACTACCTTCCCTCATCCGGTCGTCACCTGTGTGATGTGTAGAGATGGGCCTGTGGGAGATGATTTGGGTCAGAT